TGAGTTGAACAGTGTTAAACGAATGTCGCATACTGCGCATGCCCAGAAACAAATTTGGCGTAATTATTATGTTGGCGCGATTTGAAAAGAGGATAAATACGGTATGTGGTAGATGTACCGCCATCTGATTGTAAACAAATCCGGCGTTTAAGTCTTCGTAGAGTATATGTGCAATGTAAAGTAATTACTGTGTAAAATTAGATTTTTTTTCCTGTACTGCTCCAACAACTGGAAAGTTGAACGATACGATCAAGTTTAAATTCGATTGAAGAGTGCAAAAAATGGGTAAAGGAAGTCAGCGTAAATGCAGATGCTCCAGTGGATAGCGCGAGCTTCAAACCAAATGCTATTGCAAGATTGCTTTCAGGTATGTATATATTTTCCCATTTCAGTAAATTTGATATGTTATATGTGCAATATGTGATATATTGTATTTTAACACATATACAGTTCATTAACATTTCCTAAATTTCTATATAATGTAGCATTAAGAAAGATGTTTTAAGAAATAATTTGTTTCCTTACTGTTTTAATTTTTTCGAAAAGAAACATCATTTTCGAGAAACTTCAAGAAGAAAGTTATTAGTATGTACAGCGTAATTTTATTACAGCTAAAACTGATGCAAGGTACTTGAGTCTTTTATCTCAAAATGTGCTGAAATGTTTTGGTTGAAGTTAATATGATATAAAATAATGTAATGAACTCGTAATGTAATGAATTGTGGTATAACTGTAAAGAATTGGTAAAAATAAAATATAATTAGTTCAAATTTACTTAACTCCTTATATTATCAAATATCTATTGAATAGAAAAACCTGTTGAAATATTAAATGTAACAAGTTCTATTTTTAAAAGGCAGATGATTGTACAGCATGTAGGAATTGATGATGATTTTTAATAATCCTAAAGTAATAGTAAAGTCAACAATAAAGTATATTTTGATGTATGTAATTTTCATCAATGATTACATAACATTGCACTTTAATATAAAGTATGCTTGGATTGTTTTCATGTGTGCTATATATTATTGCAAATTAGTTCTTCATAAAATTGTATATTTCTGCAGTGAAAAAGTATGTATGCGATCATGCAAGTTGTAGGAAAACATGTACGTGTACTGCACATGTACCAGGAAGACAAGATAACAATTATGACTGTCAATCATCATTTGCTGACTGTATCTGTCAAGCTGACTACACAGACTATAGTAGCCAAAGATAAGTTGTAGAAAGTGTGTTTCAGAGTTGAATATATGAATTAAAGTTAGTAGGATAATTATTCTTAACTAAATAGTAAAATTTAAATAAAATAAAAATAAAACCCCTTATTTCATTTTTTTATAATTCTCTTATTATTATGATGTGATTTCACAACCATTGACCCTCTCCTATTGTTAAATAATTCATTCAGCACTGAACAACATATTATTTTATTGGTATAAAAAATAATATATTTTGTGTGTATGACCAAGTTATGATCTAAGATTTTTCAATACTTGAATCATCCTTTTAAAGATTTTTATAAAATGATTTTTTTTTTTAATTTCAGGCATTGGCACAGTGAAATGGCAGCTGAAAAATTTTGACCCTTGTTTCTGGAAGTGAAATGTTAGATGTAAGTAATGATGTCTGAGACCCTTATCACACATTTGTTTCACATGAACAACTTGTTTCGGACAATTTTTTCTGCCTGGTTTACTATTGAAAGAAAGACATGCGAACTTTTTCCTTCCTTTCTAAAAAAATTGCAAATTGTTCGTTTTCAATCAATCAACTATCAGCTTGTTTGTAATGGGGAACCAGTTTCCCATGTTAACCCCAAAGTGATCTATGATAATTGGCTGTTGTGACAAAGCAGAAAAATTGTTCCAAACAGTTGTTCTTCCTTCCAAACAAACTGACGTGTGATAGCATCCTTACTGTTAATAATACTGTGAAGCACTTAATTGTATGCTTTGCTAATGAATATGTACTAGGCAATTGTGGTTATTATGAAAGAGGTGAAATTTCAAATACAATTGTTTCAGTTACAATTATTACAGATATTATTTAATTTTGTAATAATGCTAATTAAAAATATGAATTAAGAAAATGCAAAAATTAGTGTATAAGCATACTAAGTAGTTCAGAGTAAGACTTGTACTTAATTTATAGTAGGCACTCATTCACACATATGATGACTCGTACACTGATATAAATTTGATATGCTTTTATACTGTTTACATGTCTTCTATATTCAGATTTGAATCATCATCTGCCAACAAATTCAGTTAATCAGGCATTGTTGACCTTATTAGTTTCTTGCAGATGTGTGAACTTTGGAAACATTTTTAGATTTAGTGTAGTTTTTTTTTTTTTTTTTTTTTTTCAGGTTTTCACATAATATCAACTAGAAACATTACCTCTTCATTTTAAAGGTCAAAGAGATTAAATAAAAAAAAAAAATTAGTTAATATCATACCTAAAATGTTCTTTTATTACACAACTATTATTTAAGCCATCCAAATGGGCGCAATATTTTTATAATACTTTTATTTAATTTTCCAGTATATGTTATTGAAGCCATTCAAATCCCACTTGGGCATTTTCAAGCATATTAGTTGTTGAATATTATGTCTGACTGTAAACACACAGGCAAAGTATGTATAATTATTATGTAATTTAACCTATCTTTCCTTCTTCAAATATTTCTTTAAAATTACAGGAGACAGGCATACATTTGAGCTTTGATTAACAGACTTAGTGTAGTCGCCATGACGGATAAGAAAACAGATGAATAATAGACCACCCATAATAATCACCAACATATAATGCAAGGATTTGAGAATAAAGATTGCTTATTAGCATAATAGTGCACTGAATATTAGATATAAAAATTATAGAACTGAAAGATTTGTCACGTATCATCTTTGCTTATTATTATATATATTGAAAATAAACAGTCTGCTTCTGCAACAGAATAAATATCGAGTGTCTTGAAATGTTTTGTATACCTGGAGCTTTACAGTTCAGTACATTATACAAAGAGCAGTATATAGAATGATTATCAGGTCTGCACAGAAATTTTTAATGGAAAATTCTTGTGTATAGATTTAGTTGATATTTCGTATCTTGTGTACAGATTTAGTTGATATTTTGCAAGACACGGCAATATTTCAGACTTTTATTCTAATTACTGTGACAAAACAATTGTAGTATATTACATTATGTAGCTTATATTAATAGTAAAAGTTTTAATTACTTCAGCGATATTATCGTTTTTCCGGATTATAGATCATCATTTAAATCTGGTAAGATGGCATGCAGAAATTATAAAATTAAAAATATGAAACAGTAATTTATGAAATAAAGAGCAATTATGATCTAAAAGGTATCAAAACTTACAGAAAAAACCTTAATATTTATTTGTTTACTTTATTAAACATTTCTTTCAACGCACGCATGCGTAAAACATACATTACGCATAGTCGAAATTAGAAAATTGCAACCAGAAAACTATTTGATGTGTATTCGTGATATTTATAATGACGATGAATTTGATTTAAATCATATCAAAGACGGAGTACATCGAGATGAAATACTACATTTAGTAAGGAATTATAAGCCGAATAAAATAAAAACATCTGCCCTGAAGATAAGGATAGTGCTGACAGGTCAACTTCCAGTTCATTGCACGCCGCGACGTTCCCTTCCCCGCAGAGCAGCGTGAAATTGATAAAAAGATTTCGGAACAGTTAGAGACACAAAGGATATGCCTTTATTTATCATTTTTTGCAGCAATTCCACTTTTTGTTTGATGGACATCGAAACATGCTTTCGCTTTGTAGATCCTTTGGCGGCTCCAGAATCGGAAATTCTTTTTGACATAATCGAAAGTTCAAGCTTACTTTTATAAAATTGCTCTAACAGTCTTCAAAAAATAATAAGCTGGATCCAATTAGAAGATTAAGGAACAACGCAATCTGCAACATTAACTGAAATAGATAATTAGATAATTTTAGCTTAGCTTATACCGTCTGTTATACATTAAACGCGCATGCGTAAACGTATTATGCGCGCAAGTAAACGCATATGCGCATACGCAGAAAGTTTGTAGCTTTGAGGTCCGGATTATGGACGTCCGAATTAAAGACTTTTGACTGTAATTTTCATACGTGTATATGTAATATTTTGGCAGGCACAGGAATGACCAAAGCTTGACAATATAACTACATCATAGGCCGGGCATTGTTATGGCTGAATAGAAGGTTGCAAAATGACGACAAAGAAGGATTTAGCTTTTTAGATCCCACATCTTTATTCAATTCTCCCAGCAGATCATTTTGCCTTTAGATGAAATTCTCAAAATTATATATTCAATATTGATTTAAACTAAGTAAGATTAAATTTAGACTTTACGTCATATCTGCTTTAACAAAAGAAAGAACAAGATGGGAGGAGCAGCTGCAAGGTCTTGTAGCAGCGGTAGAAGAAAGCAGTCTGACGAAAAATGGCACGTATTCAGTATGTGTACTAGCGGTTATATAACATGCCAGAATGTTCTCGAAAGTACTGGTCTAGGATAAGATCCTGAAACTGCAGTAAGTTAATTATAGGTTGCATGCTCGCGCAGAGCAAAGCCACTGTATTTTCTATATTTTACATGTATGTAATACATATTCTTTGTGTCTTGGTGAATACATTCTACCTCGCTGGCAGGTAACAGAAATTGACGAAAAGATTGATGAATATTTAATAATTTTAATGAGATTATCTAGGAAAGTAAAATAGTTTGAAACATATTAAATGTGGTTTTCCAGAATGTTTCCTAGCATAGTTTTTAATCTCAGACTAAATGATACACATTATCTGGAAGTTCATATTCTTGTGTCATAAAGTACGCTTTATTGTAATTAGTCTTAGATTGTAAAGTTAAATTTATGAAAATATGATGAGTTAAAAATGTATTGCAGATATTAAACTAGATTTTAATTATATGCAATTTTGAAATTTTAGAGATCTTGCTTCATGTAATTATTTTTAATGTTTTTATTAAATTCTTAATTAATGCTATTATGCATGCATTAGAAAGTGAAATGAAATAATACTTAGGGATATCATTTGGCTGCATTCTGTTGTTTCTCAGTTAAACTATTCTGCATTCAAAAAATTACTCAAGGATTCTCACGAATACCAGCTCAAACAGTTCCGAAGTATTTCTGCAAAATATACGTAATTACTTAAGAATTGTATCTTTTTGATAATATTTTTTTAGCCTTTACAAGTTACTGCCAAAATTATTTTGTAAATCAGAAATCTTCGAGGGGATTAGTGTGTCTCGCATAGTTACCCTGGTGCCACACTATAACACTGAAATTGATAGATGTATAATTGAATGTTTAATCAAAAATGTCTAATTCCTCTTTTATGATATTTCAAGAATTGATACTACTGAAACAAGAAATATTGGTACATTAACATTTTCTTAATATTCATTGTGTATTTGTTATGATGCATGTATTAATGTCATTACAAGTTAGCATTTGGTAATGTTTGTTTCAACAATTTAGGGTTTGATGAAGTGCCACAGAGATTATCGCTTAAAGAATGCGTGCAGGCCAACCACCAACACAAGATATTAAAAGAGCAATGAAAATGAAGATTTAACTATAAGGAAAAATCTGACTAATATTATTACTCATAACACTTAATTGTTTCATATTATTGTAAATTTATGCGAGTTTTCCTTGTATTCTGTTTATTTTGCAGCTTATGTTATTGTAAATTCATGTATGTTTTCATTCTTGCTCTGTCATGCATTTCATACAATAATCGTTTGTTGTGCATATTAATTATATGTGTATATTACATCATTGAATTACTGTATTTGAATTTTAATAAACCTTTTTACCATTCAGTAGTACTTTTCCATAAAACCCTGAACATTCTAATATCACTAATCCTCAATTCTAAATAATACTTGAGTTTACTTAATTCATGTATTAATAACGAATTTGAAAAATAATACAATAGTGACATATTTTGAGGTAAAACAAATACTGCTCAATTGGACATTTTAAAATGTTTTTTCCTTTTAATAGAGGAACATTTTTTAAGGATTTAATTATTAGTATTTGAATATTGTATTAATATATGATTAATTAGTATATGAATATATTGTGTGTAATGAATAAGTAAGGCAGTGAATAAATTTTGAACAATAATTTCATATGAGGAAATATGATCTGCCTGGGTTAAAAAATTAATCTTTAAATGCTATTTATGAGATTATATGGCTGAAATCTGTAGCCCAAAAGCAGTTGAAGCAACCCCCGCCCCCAAAAAAAAGAAGACATTTTAAATAGTTTCTTCCAAAACTTGAAATATTTAAACATTACACGACCCTAAATTTCTAGTGAATTTAAAATACTCATTTCATTCAGTTCAGCTACTGGCCATTATATGAAATTTTCCTATATTATTAAAATGTTCCTCATGATTTTGCAAGGTGAAGACCACAAATGTTCTGCCCTCATAACTAATGATGATATAATAAGCATGAAGTAGACTTCAGCGTAAGGAATATGGAACTATATATTTTGCTCTTTGTTTATTAATTAGCTCACTTTTAAAAAAATTCATATCATATAGTAAGTAGTATTCATAATTTTTCTCATTTTCTTAATATTTCATTGAAGTATTTAAATGTTAATTTAATTAGCAATACCTAATAATGTCAAATGCATATATTATTATACAGAATGGGATTCTGACCATAACATAACACTCGGGCAAAGTGATATACATGTTAATTTTTCAACAAGTTTCTGCTGTTTATGCTTTTTACTCTCTACACAGTGTTTAATTTTTAATTATTATTTTTTATTATTTGTAGGACCTAACAGGAGACCTATGTTTACATCTTGTATTTTGAATTTACAGTTTTCTTTTGTAGATTACAGACACCATATATTCAAAAGAAATTAACATGCTGCTGGATATATGCATGTGTTTTTCATATTTACAGCTGTCGCATGTGATGTTACGTAATCGGGTAAAAAATGAAAGAATTAAGTTTATTGACACCAAAACAAATGCATACTTCGATATAAAGGCTGCATAAAAATGAAAATGGCTAAATTAAAATAGTGAATTGAGGTTGTAGAGTTCTCATTTATTTTTATTAACCAGCTATTTTATGATAATTAGCTTTTCTTTCTTCCTTTCCTTTCCTTTTCCTTTCCTGCCAGAATGCTAATTTTGAGTGTATTCGAATGAGGTAGAAAGCAGTAGTATTGAAAGGAAGAGGTTTTAGATGGTAGAATCTACTTGAATATCATACTACAATATTAGATCTGAGACAATTTGTGCAGTTACTTTCTGTGTAGCCTTCGGACTAACTAAAATTTACTTAGTTGAATTCATCTCGTTAATTTTGATTTACGCCAGAAATGCTGGCTGATTCTGTATGAACAAGCTGTGCACTCTGTTAATTTGTCCGAGTCTATAAAAGAACACCTATTCCAAATCTCTATTAAGTTTTTTTTTACACCTATTCCAAACCTCTGTTGTAATTTCCAAAACATAACGAGAAGTCGCTTAAGTTTTCCAGAGTTCTCACACAGTATATATTACCAAAGTGGGTGAAACTCGTATAAGGTGTAAGAAAGACCAAAAGGAGATTTATTAAATCAAGAAAAGTAATCGGTGGAAAGGGCATTTAATCTTAATAATGAAAAATCGAATTTTACACCAAATATTCAAACTTTTGTAAATGTTTTATATTTAATTAGCGAGAGTTAAAAATAAAAATTACCTTTATATTCATAACATAGGTTACATTCTGTTAATTTCCCATAAATAAACATAAAGAATACATTGACAAAATCATTGTACTAAGCTATTTTGGTAAAATAAAATCTACTATTTTCATTGTACTTAAATTTAGGTTGTTTTCATGAAATTCTTTTATTAAACATTAACTTATACTTGATAATCAATCTTCAAGTTCGAAAATAAGTTAACTGTAATTACATTTGTTTTATGATCAAATATTTTAATTTGGCATTAGAGCATTTCTTTTTCTGTTTGACATCTCTGCTCTGTTAAGGTTATAACCAGTTAAATTGTTACTGTGTCTCTGAAAAATGAACAGCATTCTTAAACACCATTTTAAAAATATTTCTGTGTGTAGTATTTTATCAGTAGAATTTTCTCTAACTAAATAAGAGCTTCATAGCCGAGCGGTCACCCCTCACTACTTCGCTACTCATAGCATTCAGGGTTCGATCCTCAGCAGAACCTTAAACCGCAAAGGACTTGTATATATCGCATCACGTGACCTGCAAAAATTTTTAATTTCACCTCCAGTGACCATATGGATAATATTACTCTCCTCACCACTTCCTACGTTCACCACACTTGATATACTCATTTTCTCTTATGCAACAATTTCACTTTCATCCTTACAATTGCGGTAACCTCTACTACATTCGTCCTGCTTATTAAACTCCAAGACGCTTATTACTTCCACCGTTAATAGATGGTGACACGCTCGCCTTCCTCCTGTTCTTAAAGACGTTAACATGCTCCTTTTTTAAGGAAAATTTATGCGTACCAAGACTGCCCCAGTAGGGGAAATAATGTAGGAGTAAAGACCCTCGGGTCGAAGACTCGTCAAGACCGAAATTCATTACAATTCTAAACAAATACAGAAGTTGTTATAAAAACATTTGAAAGTACATGTCTTGAAAGAGAAACAGTATTCGTAATGTCTAGTCAATTATGATATATTAACAGCTATCATAACTTTGCATGTATGTTGTATGCATTATATATATATATGCATAAAGATCCAATTTTGGCAATAAGTAGAGCTGTTACAAAATAATCACGAAGTCTAATGGAACGTACTCGTCACACATACTGGGGGGAATCAAATTTATGTACGTATTTGCCAGTCTTAAAGAATTTTTTTGGGGGGGGGATTACAAATGTACCAATTTCTTATTAATATAAAATCATTTGTTAATATTAAAGAAAAATTTATTTCTTAACTTACTAAGCCAGCTAAATCATAGACCGAAATATGTGTTTCTGCAGATATTCAGAACTTCCGGAACTACGAATACATTCACAGTTACAAAATATGTAAAATATTGTGAAATATATTTCTTTTAAATGCTTGGAATATTCGGAAAAATATCTAAATTCAAAGAAATGGTAAAATACGTTTCACTTGCAGATTCTTTGTTATTTATTTGATTATATCACCATTAATAACAATGTTCACCCCCCAGAATAAAAAATATATTGTTTATGTACTGAAGTCTTGGTTTGTTTCCCTTGACAAGTCAATTAATCTATCATCAATGACAATAGCTACCTTTTAAATACTTTTAATTTTGGTACTTAAAATGTTTGCATTTCAAAATAATATTTCTATGCAGCTTTTAAATAATTTTTAATGCAACAGAAATCTAAATAACATATTTTCCACTGCAGGTGGAATTCTAAATAACTTCAAATGCTGACTAAAATTCATTCCAATAATTCATCGCTTTAAATTTCTGTTCCTTGTTCCTTGCAGATGATACAGGAAAAACCTTTTCTAATAATATATTTCTAATTCTAATTCTACCAGGATATACTTGATAAATAACCCGATGAAAAAATTGATACAGGCATAGATGGAGGAGATGTAAATAATTATTACGAAATAATGTGAAGCAGTGTTTGCATTCAAAATGTAAGATGTTATACTTATGAAATTCTGCACTTTACTTTGGAACTGTACGAATTTTCGCTCAAAAAAGACTGAAATTTAGGATATATTAGTTGAAAATTTATTCATTACACTTTTAAGGAATAAAAACAACTCAGAATTTACCATACGTTCCATTCGTACATTAAAGAAACACGGACATACGTAAAAAATATAGCAAGTGTTTGCAAATAACATTGAAGAAATTTTACAATTCAAAAATGCTGTTTATTTAATTCTTTTAAATAAGAAATAAAAGCGCGAATATACGTTAACAAACTAAGCGGGAAAATCCAGTTTACATTACTGAGAATTATAACATGTAAACAAATTACATCTAAATAACGAATTATTAAGCACAATATATGGTAGCAATTATTAAATGCACTGTTACACAAATTAAAATGAAACATATATTAGAAAAATAAGCAAGTGCAAAGGTATGAACGTTAAAATAACTAATAAACAAAGTTCCACAACATTGCAGTTATACACATCATTCGCCCACACTCGACAGCCATGGAGATCACGAATAAGCTAGCGTAGGGTTGCTTTTAGTCGCCAATATTTCTTCCCGCGCCAAAGGTACACCATCAAGTATGCGCAGTAAGCGAAATTCGCTTAACACTGTTCAACTCAATGTGCGGTCTGCCATTACGCATACGGTGCGCATGGGATTTGGCGTTTTTGGCGATATTATGATGAGCAGTAAATGAGTCATTTTGGTGTTGGCGACAGTTTTCAAAATCGCGCCAAGGCCGTCCCGTGTACTAAGGTTTTACCCTAAATCGCGCTATTTGGACGGTCAACAGGCTAATACGTATGTACCAAGAATACTTTTAGTTCTGTTTATTTAATGCTTGCGTGCATTCCATTACAATTTAAAGATTAATTTTTAGTTCATATAGTC